AGGGCGGGGGGGGGGCTCTAATGTAGGGAACAGGCTCATAAAAAGGGGAAAGGAGAGAGGGAGGGGGCAGACCGACCCCCAGGGACAGGAGCAGCGGGAGAGAGGAAAGAGCGGCAGAGAGAGAGAGAGAGAGAGAAACAGACAAAAGGAGGGAGAGAAAGAAAGAGAAGATGGGAGGTGGGCAGGGCCCTTTTAAAAGGGACCATAGTGACTGTGCTGCACAGGTGCTGCTCTTAGTGGCTGCCGCTGAGGGCGTGTCCTGTCAGAACCTCAAGGACAGGCCAGTACGGATGCCTGAATACTAACACTCACAGGAAAATAAGAAAATAGTCAAAGCAATGCGGCCGAGGGGTTGGTGACATGGTTCAGGGGCTGTAAGCAAGCCTAACAACCTGAGATTGATCCCCCAAACCCACGTGACAGAGGAAGACAGATAACCTCTGCAGGTCCTCTGACCTCCACATACGTGCTGTGGCACATACGCACACACAGTACACGCATGCATGAATGAATGCATGGATAATAAACAAATAAAGCCAGGTATAGTTGTGCACACCTTTAATCCCAGCACTCGGGAGGCAGAGGCGTGAGTTCGGGATCAGCCTGGTTTCCATAGAGTTCCCTGTCAGTCAGGGACTGACATACTGAGATCTGGTAGCAGAGATAAGTTAATTAAAAACTTGAAGTAAGATGGAGAGCACAGAGGGAGACACCGAATGGCTGTCGGGGATCCCTGGGAAGAGGGCAAGTGCTTCAGTGGGGGCACACTGAGGGGGCTGAAGAGGGCTTCGGGAACCCCAGAGGAAATGGTGACATTGATGTGCCCTTCCTAGATGGGGGGAGTAGAGATGACCAGTGGGCAATGACCAGTCTCTGCCCACCCATTCATTGTGTGGCAGCTTCTGCCATTACCAGAGGCCATGGTGCTGAGGGAGCAGCTCTCCAGCAGAGATAATTGTCAGGTTGTGGGCAATGGAAGGCTTCACGAGCCTGGGAATGAATTCTTTACTCTGGGGTCATTCTTTGCTGCCGAATCCAGCTACAGAGCCACGACCCACGTTCCAAGTGGTTCCTTCCTCCATAGTTTATTCTTGTTTGCTTTTTGCTTTTTTTTTAGATTTTATTTATTATGCATACAACATTCTGCTTCCATGTCTATCTGCACACCAGAAGAGGGCACCAGATCTCATAACGGATGGTTGTGAGCCACCGTGTGATTGCTGGGAATTGAACTCAGGACCTCTGGAAGAGCAGTCAGTGCTCTTAACCTCTGAGACATCTCTCCAGCCCTGCTTTTTTCTTTTTTTTTTTTTCTTTTTTTTTTAAGACAGGGTTTTACCATGTGGCTCTGGCTGTCCTGGAACTAGCGCTTGTACACCAGGCTGGCCTTGAACTCAGAGATGTCCCCCACCTCTGTCTCCCAAGAGCTGGGATTAAAAGTGTGGGCCACCACGCCCGGCCTTTCCCTGTTTTGGTCAGGGCCTGCGCTCCACGGAAAGCCCTGGGATCTTCAGCTGTAAGCTGAACCTGATGTGTGGATGGCAGAGACCTGACAGTGAGTTCACGTGCCCCATTTCACAGATGAGGAAGCCATGGACGGGGAAGGACGGGGAAGTGGTCACACAGCATCTGGGGTGACCATTAGGATGTGCTTAGTCACTGCACAACTGCTGTCTGTCAGGTACATCCTAGGCTCTGGGCAGGAAATGTCCTGCTCAGTGGGACAGACATTCTGATGGAATCAGACAGGACATGTTTGCAAACTGGACAATGAGCCACAGAGCAACATGGAGGCAAATGTGGCTGGGGAGGAGAGAGGGCATTCCAGTCTGCCATAGTACCTCAGCAGAGGCAGGGGTGAGGGTGGCAAGCCCTACAGAAGTCCAGGGAAACCGTTCCGGGCACGGTGAAGAACCTAGGCAAATGTCCCGTGAAGTGAATGAGGTTGGTTTATCTCAGGCACACAGCATGGAGGAGCTGCTGTCAAAGGAAATGGTAGATGAAGACAAGATAATGTAGCCTTGCGGGGCTGAGGAGGGAGAACGGCCAATTGCAAGTCTCTCTGAGCTACATAGCTAAACTGACGCCCATTCACATAGGGCCTATCCGTTTGCGATGCTTCAAGCCTGTAACCCTTTCCAAGCATTCAGGAGAGAGGAGGACCACTGCTGTAATTTAAGAAAAGCAGTGCGGGTGAAAGACGCCATGCGGCAGGGTTCAGGCAGAGGAGTTTATTAGGAAAAGGGATCGTAAAACGGGGAAAGGGAAGTGGGGAGACGGTTCTACAGAGACAGGAGGCGGAGAGAGAGAGGAACAGACGGAGGGAGAGAAATAAAGAGACGGATGGGAGGTGGGCGGGGCCCTTTTAAAAGGGAACACAGTGAATGTGCACAGGTGGTGCTCTTAGTGGCTGCAGCTGAGGGTGTGTCCTGTCAGAACCCCAAGGACAGGCCAGTACGGATGCCTGAATACTAACAACCATGAACTTGAGGATAACTTCAGCCATTTAGTGAGATCAGGGACAACCTGAGTTATATATAGTGAAACCCTGTCAGAAAAAATTATGTGAGCACTGGCGGAGTGGCTCAGTGGTAGAGCCCCTGCCTAGAACCCCCCAGTGAGGGGCTGGGGGCGTGGCTCAGTGGTAGAGCCCCTGCCTAGAATGCCCCAGTGAGGGGTTGGGGGCGTGACTCAGTGTTAGAGCCCCTGCCTAGAATCCCCCAGTGAGGGGCTGGGGGTGTGACTTAGTGGTAGAGCCCCTGCCTAGAATTCCCCAGTGAGGGGCTGAGGTGTGGTCAGTGGAAGACCCCTTGCTTAGCTAGTAGAAGGATTTTGTTCCTACCTCCACTAAAACCAAATACTGTCCAATTTTTTAATAACTCACATGGGGCCTGTGATAAAGTGAGTATTTTGGAGGGAAGGCATATCTGAAAATGTTCTTCTGGCTATGGTGTGAGGGACTGACAGGTCAGGTGGAAGCCAGAGAGTGTGGGGGGGAGGGTGGTAGGAGCAAGAATGATGCCAGAGGAAGCCGATTCAGGCTGTCCCAGGATGGTTATAAATGACTGTACTCAGGGGGCGTTGGTTGCTCACACCTTTAATCCCAGCACTCGGGAGGCAAACGCAGGAGGATCTCTGTGAGTTGGAGGCCAGCCTGGTCTACAGAGTGAGTTCCAGGAGAGCTACACAGAGAAACCCTGTCTAAAAAAGAAAGAAAGAAAGAATAAAGAAAGAAAGAAAGAAAGAAAGAAAGAAAGAAAGAAAGAATGTACTCTGAAAGTCCTTCCAAAGCATTGCACACAGCACAGCACTGTCAATCCAGCGACCAGCCCCTAATCCCAGTGATTGCTCCTGTCTTCCCTCAGGCCTCTCCACATCGCTGTGGTCCAGAATAACAAGGCAGTTGCCCTCCGGTTAGTCATCCTTTTCCAGCAGGGAGGCCGGGAACTAGATGTCCACAACAACCTGCGGCAGGTGAGATGGGCTGGGACCCTGGCATTGGGGCTTCGGGTTCTTGTTCTTGGGAAGGAGGGGTCCCAGAGAAGACAGCAAGGAGGGAGCCGGCGTCCTGGGAAGAGAGAGAGAGAGAGGGTAATGAATCTGGGCATGGTAGCGTATTATGTCATCCAGAACCAGCATGGGCCGCTCTCTCCTTTGGTCTCAGCAGTTGGGAGGTGGAGTCAGGAACAGCCGGAATCGAGGTCATCCCCATCTATAGAACCAGTCTTGGGGTCAGCATGGGCACCTTGACATCCTATGTCACAACAACATCTCCCCCCAGGGGGGAAAAAAAAAAGCTCCATCGCGCTAGACTTTCTGGGTTCTGAGGTAGACACAGGGGTCTCCGACTCTTCAATTGGGAGAGATGTCAGAGGCTCCCATTAGTAGACTCGGAAAACCCCAGGTGCGTGAGCAGGAAGACTGGTCCCTCACGGTCACTGTTCCCCAGACCCCACTCCACCTGGCTGTGATCACCGCATTACCAGATATGGTCCGGCTCCTGGTGACAGCTGGTGCCAGCCCCATGGCCCTGGACCGCCACGGCCAGACTGCAGCCCACCTGGCGTGCGAGCACCGCAGCCCCAGCTGCCTGCAGGCCCTGCTGGACAGCGCAGCCCCGGGCTCCGTGGACCTGGAGGCTCGCAATTACGAAGGTGAGTCCCCAGAGGGGACACGGTGAGGTTGACCCCGTCCAAACCCAGGCCGGGGCTTGACTGAGGATTCCCCTCTCTCAGGGCTCACCGCCCTGCACGTGGCCGTGAACACCGGGTGCCAGGAGGCGGTTCTGCTGCTCCTGGAGCGCGGCGCAGACATCGATGCTGTGGTGAGCCAGGGAGGCAGGAGATGAGGGGCGTGGCCTGGCTGAGGAGGTGTGGCCTAGAAGGCGGGGCTGGGGGCAGGGGGTGAGGGT